TGCTTGGAGCTATCTGAGAAGACAAACTGGAAGACGAAGACCCCTATTTAAACAGGGAAACTGGTAGGCAGAGTCTCCCTGGCTGTGAGGCAATGCTGGCTCTTGAATTCTCTTGTCATCTGACCTCCATTCTCCCTTGGGTACCTGACTCTCGTGGCACCAACTTGTACCTCTGTGGCAGAGCTAATGGACTACAGAAGCTCTATCTGGAGGCTAACAGCTTTCACACAGGCAGTGCAAGAGAAACTATGCTGAGCTGCAATGGGGATTTGTGGAGCAGTGTTCCCGAGTAATTGCACTGCAGATTTCAGGCCACTTCTCTGCTAAGTGAATCCCTACATGCTCTCCCTCAGCTTCCTTAATAGGAAGCGGGGGCTCACAAAGCTGCTGATTTAACCAGCACTAAATTAAAATTCAATACAAGGAGCAGCTGGACAAACCTGATACGCTTGCCAGAGGGGCTGGCTCAGGAAGGGAGAAAAAGTGGCTTTGGTCCATCCATTGATGGGAGGACAGGAAAGGGACATGAGATTTGGCCTCTGGCTGGAAGGGTGCCCATTGGGGGAGCACTGCAGCCTCTGGACCTTGCTAGAGCTGTTTTCTTCTTAGGTCTGCCATGTGCATTTAGGGAAGCAGATCTTGAACCTTGTCCCCATCCTCCCAACTGCCTGTCTCATTTTGGAGACCAGCTTTAGGATCTTCCCCACTTTGGACACAGGATGGGAAGAGGGTTTGTTCGTGGCCCATTTTTTGTGCATATACACTCAGAGTCCTGTATGTGTCTTCCCTGTGACCAGCTGGGGACACACCTAAACCAGGCAGTGAGAAAGGGTTGTCCTGTAGCATCCTAGAGCCACCCGCCTGAGGGGCCCAGCCCCACACGCCCAGCAGCATTCGCTGTGCACCTGCGGAGATCCATACCACTGGTTTCCCAGGCTTTGCAGGGTGGTGCGCATCTGAAACAACCTGTCTCTCTCCCGCTACCTACAGAACAAGCCCAGAACAGCCAGACCAGAGGTAGGAAACCACTAGGTATCTAATTTCTTTTGATTTTACTTTTTATTTTTTGGGCTCTCAGAAATGTGTTCAGTCTGAATTGAGGTTACAACCTGGGTAATGCCTCCCTGACTGAAAAAAAAAGGCTGTTACCATAACAACCTGACTCTGTGCTTCATTACCATGGCAATTCTCAGGAATTATTAAATACTGTGTATGTTTGGTGCACGCGCTCCGGGTACATCTGGTGCCAGGCTCAGGTTGGGATCCTCCCTGCCCCCTGATCTGTTTGTCTGTCTCATTTTAACTCTTTCATTGCCCTCAGCCAAGACTACTGGGGCAGGAAGTAGGAGGTGGTTATTCGGGGGGATTTGGTTTGGGGTTTTCCCCACTGCAGGACTCTAGGTCCAGGATGCCTGGGTTTTCTTAGGTGTGTCAAACCACCTCTTTTTTTCTCCAGTTGTAAAATCGATGTGCTTACTGAAGTCAAGGGTCTCTCTTTGCAGGCAGGCTGCTCAGCAGGGGGGAATGTTCTCACACCTGCCTCCCTCTCCTGTCTCCCAGCTGTCAGTCTAGAAATAAGAGAGTCTAGCTGGAAGAGAGCCCCTGAGAGCAGAGAAACAGCCCAGCGACGGGGAGCTTTTCCTGGAGGAGGACGCTGAAGGTCCGGAGCAGAACGTTCCTGGTGGGGATCAAGAAACAGTTACCCGTTTGAAAAGTTGCTTGACTGACCATGCACATAGCTGATGGCTAAAATCATGACAGTTTTCAGAGAAAGAGCGCAGAGTAGATGGACCAGTGGCTCAGACCAATGTAGCCCATCCCCCAAATCAGTGCAACTGCATTGCAATCTTGTCTTTCACTGCTAGCAGATGAGTTTAAATTAGATTCAGTGTCTGTTCCTCACACTGCCACTGATGTGCTAATCACCCTGAGCTCGTCCCTTCCCTCCTTGTCTCTCTGCTGTTCTTCATGGCCAGCATGGTCTCAGTAACACTTGTACAGCTCCTAGCTCCCCAGTGAGGTTGGGAGCTACCATACTACAAGCAACAGTTGCAAAAATCAAAATACTGGTGCCCTTTAAAAAAACAGCTTACAAATTTCTTGGGAACCAGTACCCACTAATGAGCTTGAACTAAATAAGTGGGCATGAGATGAGAAAACATGGCTATTTGTGGGGGAGGGGCAGGAGAAAGAACCATTAATATTGTCTGCTTTCATTATGCAAGCCCTGGAGTAACTACCTCATGCCTCTGGCTGCAGGACTTATCCCCTTGGTGCAGGACCGTTCCCAGAGAAAGTTTTTCAGGGTCTGAGACTGCAGCCCTTCCCCTGAGATCAGAGGAGCATTGTGGTGCCCTCATCCCCCTCCCTTGCACCAGGCATGGCCTGCACTGGCATCTGCTCTATGGAGAACATCACGGGGCAGGAATCATGACTGTTAAACCATGACTTCACCTCAAGAGGGTCTTTAGACTCCATATCGCTAATCCAAGGGGATCTCTAGCCATGCCAGCCCCCATTGCCATCCCTCTGGTTTCCCCTTGCCCCCTCAGTGTTGGCATGAAGCCTCCAGAAACCCCCTTTTCCCCAAATAATTCCTCCTCTCAGTGTGGTAGTCAGCCTTTTACTGGGAAACTTAACTGGATGGGCACTTGTGTGTAAGTTCCTTAAACCCAATGCAGACAAGACAGAAGCCCAGCCACGCCAACTGTTTCATTCTACAGACCCACTTCTGCTGGTCTGCACCACCTGCTAATGTAGACATAGCCTTTATAGTCAGGGAGGAGAAACAGCGCGACTGGAGGATAAATAAGCCAACATAAAGTTGGGCTCTTGCTCCAGTCAGCCATGTTAAAGGTCCTCCCTCTCCTAACTGACCCCTGAGCAAGCTCCAGGTCACCACTTGTAAGTTGGTTACAGTCCATCTCAGTGAGTGCCCATCTCTTGCTTTCTGGAGCACTGCGTTTCTCCTCCACCTCATGTGTGCATGTACCTAATGTGTACAAGAGCCCCATCGCTCTTGTTGCCTTTCTTTCTTTCCCCTGGAGGACTCTACAGCACAGAAGGGATGAAGCCCTTCCGTGTGGGGCACCTGAGGATACTTGATGAGTTTTTTGCTATGTGGAAACCTACAGCCATGTTTCCCTGCTGAGGTGCAGGAGCATGCATGTTATAGAAGGTTCAAGGTGCACACCTGCTTCACCAGGGATGTGCCAAACAGCTTTATATGGGCTCTAGGCCTGAAATGGCCCAGTAGGGCTGAAATTCAGATGCTAGGAAAGCATTTAGCGGGGCTAACTTCAGCCCTGGTAGCTGATAGATAGGAAGAAACAAACTCCTCCAGAGCCTTCTTCAGTGTCCTGCTCCCAGTCTTCTCTTCCTCCATTGCCTGCAGAGGAAGACAGCAATGAGTAGCCCATGGGGACTAATAGGAGCCCTTCCAGTTACCCCTGGCGCTCACCAACTCTCACAGCCGTTTGCAGAACAAAGCAGTTAGGGACAGCTGAGGTGATTCGACCAGCTCCTTTTTTCAGGGCATTGCTACAGGTCTGAGTTAAGGTGATTTTGATGCTTTTGGGGGATTAGCATGTTCTGCTGTGCCTTGCTTGCATTTCTAGCACTGGAAGGTTTCTTCTGTCATCTCTAAATTCTCCCTGGCGCTGGGGCCAAGGCTGCTGGGTGGACTGGCAAGAAAGACGAGACTCCAGCATAAAGCAGAAACTGGATGGGAGCGTGCTGAATGCATCTAGGCTGTCCTCTGATACCACAGTGACCTGAAAATGCAGTTACATATGTAAGTACATTCCTAAGTTTTTGCAGAGCTAGGGTCCTCATATGCATTGCGGTTATTTGCATTTCACCCTGATGCCAAGACCAAGCCGATGAGTGACACCCCCTGCAATGGGAGCAGTTTCCACTCACAGGCAAAGAGGACAATGACCATAACACCCTCCTTCAGCAACAGGGACCAAAATCCTCTCCTGCACTATTGTGTAGAGCCACATTCACATCTGCCAGCAGAACAGCAAACTCCATTCAGGTGTGCGCAGCTACAAGCTGCTCATAAAATCAGAGCCCTGCATTTTCAGCCATTTCACTGGGGCCAAAGGGAAGTTTCAGAGCTTTGAATCCCGAATTCTGGTCCTGCTGCCACGTTGTCTTTGTGCTCTTAATTGGTTACAGACAACAGGTTAGTGGGAGCAACCAGTGACAACGCTGCTCTAATCTTGCTCTGCCTCAGGCTTATTCCACCAATATCTTGTGGGAACCTTGAAAAAAAAGATGCTCCGTAAATATTTAATTATGAAGCATACTCTCATTTATAATTTGGGAATGGCAGAGAGCTGTTCTTCCGAATTTGCATCCAGGTAGATCAGATCATCCCCTCCTCCAGTATCCAGGATGCTTTCCCACTACAGAAGTGGAGCCGGCAGGAATATTGTTGGCACAACAAAACTTGAATTATTTCTATCTCACACCCACAGGCAGAGCTGTAATTCCATCACAGAACGAAGGTCAGGAGTCCTCCCCCTCCTCCTCTCACACAATTTAGTTTTGACAGCTCATCAGGATCAGAGGGGCTGGAGATTTCAAGTCAGAATCTGAAATCTTGCTGTGCAAGATGCGTTCACTGCATCTTTATGAAGCTCTGTGCTTCAGCACTGTGCAGGTATTTAGCACAAGCCCAAAATACGTACTGCCCAAATAATTTATTTGCTAGTGGAAAATAATACTTGCCTGCAAAAAAGGTACAATAGTTTCTGTTTTAAATAAATATTTCTAATCAGAGTTCAATTAGAAGGTGAGATGCTTGTATTTATCTCTGGAACTAGGACTGAAATACCTGAACTCCACACACAGACACACACACACACACACACACACACACAGACACACACAGACACACACACAGACACACACACACACACGCACACACACGCACACGCACACACACACACACGCACATACACACATGGAAAGGATTTGAAGACAACACTGGATTCTTTTGAAACAGGTTATTTTTTTCCTGCATATTCACTAGTTTTCAAAAAACTACAAAAACCTCAAGGACTGTAACAATATAGCACTTGAAAAGAAGGTTGTTGTGTACAAAACCAAGCATGCTTTTTTTTTATTAGTTAACTGGGTTTTTTCCTTCCTTCAGTGTAGTCTGAAAGAAGAAAGTGCCAGTTCATTTAACAGGATTTCTCAGAAAAATAAGGAAGAACATGCTTTCCCCATCACAGGACTCTACCAGAAGATCCATGCTTGAGGTCCAAAACAGAAACAGACTGACACATTTGTAAGCATGCAGACTTTGTTGTATGACCCACATGGCACTTCCCTTCCCCTGCCCCGTGGCCAAAGCTGTGGTCCATGCCACACATTTTGCTTTCCCTTTACTTTTTTGTTTTCTTGTTGTAGTGAGTTGTTTGTGCTTCCCCCCCTTTTTTAGCCCTAAATCCCAGGTAGCAGTATCCAAGGTAACAGCAGAAAAGAGTCCAAATCTGTGCATTATCACTGCTTCTGCAAGTTTCATGCAAAACTTAAAGTCATTCCTGCATGCAGCACGCGGCTGGTCATTTACTATGCTTCGTACAACTCTGAGGAGCTTTCCCTGTACACGACAACAGAATTTGTTCACTGGGAAGTGCAGAAGGTTTGCTTTCCCATGGACACAGACACAGTAAAAGAACCCCCACCCTCCTTTCCAGTCCCCCCACCTGCTCCAAACGCATGGGGATCTGCATCGCAGCACCAGCTCCGGACAGTTCACTTGCCTACGAGTGCCTGGTGGCTTCAGTAAAGCCCCATGATTGCAGCTCCCACATCCTTGGAAGGTCTTCGATCCTTCACCAAAAAGTTGATCATGCTCTCCGACTTGATGAGCAAGTTGCAGCCCAGAAAGAAGATGCCAAACATCACAGTCAAGGAGAGGACGCAGAGGACAGCGATTTGCACCACCCGTGTGATATAGAGGCTCCTCTCGTCAGGCACAAGGACAGAGGAGCCCCCGTCGGTCGCCAGCACCGAGCCAGTCCCGTTGCAGCAGGCCATCAGCATCCCCAAGCCCTGGGTCCTGTTCAGGTAAGCTCCCTGCTCTAGGAGAGTCTGGTTGAAAAAGGTCCCATTCATGGTCTACGTGCAATCCCAAATCTCTGGGGAAGGCAAGAGGAAAGATTGCCGTCCCCCTGCCCACCGCTCACATGCCAGGGGTCAGCGCCATGGGCCAGCGGGCTCCAGTCCCCCTCCTTTCTTCTCACAACGCCTCAGATGGACGGGAAACTTCCTCGAGGCTGCGAGCAAGTAGGAAGCCAATTTGCGTAGCCGAGGGATAGCTCACTCACGGATTCCTCCTGGCGCCAGCATCATTAGCACGAGCCCCCAAACCAGCAGTAAGAGAGAGAGAAAAAAGGCAAAGGGGGCACAGGGGAGAGGAAAGCAGCCAAAGATTGCCACATGCCTCCTTCCCTCCGTGCTCCCCAAACCTGCCTCCCTGAAGCATAGGGCAGCGAATTCGCGTTCACCCCAGCGAATCTCCCGCAGGAGGGGAGAGCTGATTCCTGCAGGCTGGGAGCTCCACAAATGCAAGTTCCAAGCTAAAGTCTTCACCGTGTTCAAAGAAAAACAGCAACTCCACCCCCTTCCAGCCTCT